CTACAAAAGTGCGAATTTATACGAAGTTATCCGGACGGGCTACCTGTGCACTGCGAACCCGGTCAGAGCCTGGAATCTGCACGTGGGAATTTGAAATGGAAGCGCTTCCCATAGATGTGTGGTTCACTATTTTGTAAAAGAGAAATTTAAGCTTCGAAGAGTCTGTAAACAGTGGAAGAATATTTTTTTTCATCCATCTTTGCTGAAGAACTTAAACTTCTCAAATGTTAAYGGAGAAGGAATAAGTGAAAGAGGACTGAAATTCGTTTTGGAAGCCGCCCGTGAAATTCTGTTTATTGATTTATTCAACTGTTATTCCATAAACAAAGGAGAAAGTCTTCTCGAAGCAGCTAAGGTAGAAAAGTTCCAGAATCTAAAAAGTATTTCCATTGCTTGGACAAACATTCAGGACAATATCCTTATTGAAATACTGAAAAATGCTCGGGAATTAGAGCACCTCGACATTTTCGAGTCTATAATAACAGAAGCTGTTGTGCCATATCTGTACAAACATACATCGTTGCAGTTCTTACGTCTAACCGGGCATTATGACTGGTCAGAGACTATTGGAGATATTGAATACATGCACAAATATTAGAATTATAGATTTGACTGGAGAATACTTTTCAAGAGTCAGTTTACAGGCGGTTTTTGTCTACAGGAATTTACGCTGTGTTATATTAAAATATTGTACCTTCGAGAGTACAGACTTTAAGTCGATTTTGCCAAGACGTATAAAAGGCAATGGGAGATTCATATGTTTATGCGGCAACACAGATATAGCTGAGGCAAAAGAGTAATTGTCTAGTTGTGGGTTCATGTTATGTGACCGCGAGGAGAGGAATCACATGTTTACTAAGGAACAACTACACGTTTTTGAAACCCTGGCCTGCTCTCAGTCTGACCTCTAGCTCAGCTGTTAGAGCATCGATAGTACAATTCCGAAGGTCGTGGGTTCGATTCCCAGCGAGGTCGGAAATTAATTTTTCCGGATTTAATTCCAAGGGTTTTCGCCCGCAATAACCTCGTTCCCAAGCACTATAACTTATCTATATTCCTATATCTTCATGTATTTCATAAGTGCTACGCGGTCCATATATTCTCGTTTTTGAAATCAACAAGTTGCTTTGATAACAGTCATACTTTTTGCCGGATAATGGCTAAGCAAAGAAGCATCGGTGAATTTTTTAAGGCAGATTTATCTAAAGAAAATAACTCTGTTGAAGTAGTGCTAGACCAGCATGAAGCAGCAAATTCTTCAAACGAACAGATTACAAGCGTTGAAGAACTGTCGCCAAAAATAGGCGTACATGATCCTGCTAATTTTCTCGAGTCAAGTTTCAAAACACTGTCCTCAGAAGAACGCGCTAGGCTTATTCAAAATGGCCCATGTTAGCCAAAGGAGTCAGAACTTGCCACTGGACTTCCAAAACGCAAAATAGCTTCAAAAATCAGATGTTTTCGTGAAGAGTGGTACAATAACAACGAATGGTTAGAATATTCAACTGCATTACATGGCATGATTTGCTTCGCATGTCGTTTATTTGGGGGACTATCTAAGGACGACAACTGGGTGAGGTCAGGTGTCAACAATTGGAAGAAAGCAACGGAAAAGATAGGTGAACAAAGTCAGAGTGCATTTCACCAAACCAACTTGATTAAATGGAAGTCATATTCAAACTTAAAGAAACCTATCGATTGTATCCTTGATGAACAGAAAGAAAAGGAAAGGTCTGCACGTGCTGCACAAATAGAAAGAAATCAACAGATAATTATCAGGATATCAGATGTATGTAAGTTTTTAGCAAAGCAAAACATTGCTTTTCGGGGACATGACGAATCCAAAGATTCATGTAACAAAGGCAACTTTCGGGAACTTATAGAACTCCTGGCAAAATATGACCCTCTTCTCAACGAGCATCTTTTAAAAGCCCCAAAGAACTCCACCTATTTGAGTCCCGAAATCCAAAACAGTGTGATTGAGACCTTAGGGGAGCTTATCTTGTCTAGCATTGTAGATGAAGTGCGAGAAGCTCGGTTTTTCGCTATTATGGTTGATGAGACAACAGACATTTCTCATCACGAACAGATGTGTATTTGCATCAGATACGTTAACACACAAACGACAGAAGTTCAAGAGAGATTTGTAGGATTCTTACAGGTAGCCAATATAACGGCTGCCACTTTGTATGACACAATTGTGCAGTACTTGCAAAAATTTAATGTTGATCTAGAGAAAATAAGAGGATAGTGAGTACTTTGATCAACTGAAGCAGTTAAAAAGTGCGAAGAAAGTGGCATTGCTGTCCCCAATGAGCAATCTAAGAGAAAACGAGTACTTTCGTCGCGTGTAGATAGCAGTGCCGGCTTATCCTCGGCTAACCAGCATCACTTTAGCAGTGTAGAGATGAAATACAGAGCCGAGTTCTATTTCGACGTCCTAGAAAATTTAGTTTCAGAACTAAATAACAGATTTAACAAGAACACGGAATGAGTGTTGAAACATGTTTGGGTCTTGTCTCCAAAATTGTTTAGCACTAATGTTGTGACTGAAAGTGTGAAAAACAGCTTCAATAAATTGGTAGAGTTTTACAGTCGCGACATCAACAAACATGCGGCAAAGACTGAATACGATGTATTTTTGGCTACAGTTGCATCCGAAAGAAAACTACATGAGAATGACCATAGTTTTAAGGACTGCAAATCGATGATAGAGGTGGCTAAGCATATGTTTGACAAAGGCTATAACCGTACATTCCCAACAGTCTTCCGTTTATACAATATAATTATTACCATACCAGTTACCTCATGCTCAGCAGAAAGATCATTTTCCAAATTGAAATTGATAAAGAACTACTTGCGTTCAACGATGGGACAGAAAAGGCTATCTTCACTAGCAATGATTTCATTGGAGAGAGATCTGTGTGATAATCTCGATCCACATGCAGTTATGAATCAGTTTGCTCCACRWAGARGAATGGAACTAGCATTTTAAACCGTTTGAGTTAAGATTTAAGAATGGTTAATAAAATAATGTTTGTTTCTTAAATTTTTGTTTGAGCGTTTATTTGTTTTGTTGGGGAGGAGTAATTTTTTTTATTTTGGATCAGTGCCCCCCCAGCTCCTAGGTCCTCGCTACGCCCCTGTATTACAGCGAGCAAAGGCATGGCTTTGGGAATATTTATCCAACTACAATGACACCTAAACACCTAAATACCAATACAACAGAACTAGATGACCAAACAACTGAGCCAACTTATAATATATGTAAATTTAACGAGGAAAAAACGAAAGAAATTGAACTTAACCAAAAGACTTCCACTTTCGATTCACTACTTATGTTGACACTCGTTTCTTTATTTTTACAGATATCACGGATCTACTATCGACCAAAGACGTGAACTCTTTTCTTGTCGTTTGACCACAGGCAGCCCAAGCAATTTATCTGCTGTGTGTACGAAGGAATTTACAGTAAGGGGCGAGGTCAAAACAATGGTTCAAAATAGGCACCCAATTTTATGAATTAAGGTGGTGGGTACTGGTACATACCCCTCCCCTCCACTCCAGAGACCTGTTCAAATGCTTGATACTGGGGGTGTGTAGTGGCGATTCCTATACACAAATATGCTTTTAGCATACATGCACACAGACTCCATTCATTTCTGTGATGTACCTCTTAGTTTTGGAGATATTTGGGGACAAAATCTAAGATTTCACTTCCATAGGTGGTAGGTACCGGGTAACTTTTTTTTTTCCAATCATATATTTTTTGCTTCTAGTAGTCCCATACATTAACTGTAAATCCCTTCGTACACACCACAAATATATATTGCTTGGGCTGCCTGTGAATTGACAGATCCATGGCGTCCAAGACGTTCACAGACAGGGAGCTGAACTACTTTCGTATTTGTTACATTGTCACGCGTGCTGTACCTGAAGAGCTGAGAAAATTCTTTAAACAAGAATGGGACAAGTTTTTCAAGGCTACGCATGGAGAGTGGCGTGACACAGCCAAGAATGGAAACGATTTCGATAACATGGAGTCGCCGAGAAATAAGAGTCGAAATGCAAGGCTTCTGTCTGTAATGGTGAATGGTAACACCAGTGAATGGGACTGTACTTGCCTCTTTTATGCTATTCTMYACTCRGATTCTCTTGGAAAATCTCTCAAACATAGTCCTGCATGGAGAAGCATCGACGCATTACGAGAAATTCGTAATGAAGTTTTTGCCCATACCATCGATGGAAGCCTCGAAGAAGTGGATTTCCAAGCTTCTGTTCAAAAAGTTTTAACGGCGTTTTCAACCTTGAAGCTGGATSCTTYAGCAATAGAASAYATGAAAAACCAAAAWATGTTCTTGACAGACGAGGTGCTCAGTCTTCAGCAWCAACTTGAAACAGAAAAGAATCGTATCGCTGAATTGTGTTCGTTTTGTGTGTTGCCCCCCAAACCTTCCCATGATACCACTGAACGTCCAGAAGAAGTATCCAGTATATACGAAGAGATGACCAAGTTAAGAAACGCCAAGAAAAATGAGACAACTGTGACGTATCTGTCTGGGAATCCAGGCTGTGGAAAAACTGAGATGGCAAGGCAAATCGGGCAGAAACATTTCAAGAAAGATGACGATGAAGGAGCAGATCTAAGGTTCGTATTCACTCTCAATGGATTCAGCTTGGATACCTTGCTTCAGTCATACATAGAGTTTGGTGGTCAACTCAATTGTGACCAAGAACTCATAACAAACATTAATACAGCAAAGGATGTCAGTAACCAGCAGAAAATCTCACAAATAAGAGGTTTTATCGCCACCACAATACAGACATATTCTTCCTGGTTGATCATTGTTGACAACATCATGGATCTTAAGTCGGTTTTCCAATACTTGCCTCAAGCTGGAGAAAAGACCGTTGGAAAAGGTCAGATCTTAGTCACAACTCAGGACAGTCAATCCATTCAAAAAAGTGATTCCCATACGTACCATACGTCTCTAAGCCAAGGATTGAAACAAGAAGAATCGATTGCTTTACTTTGCCAAGTATCTGGTTTAGAAAGCGATGACAACGCGTTGGAGGTAGTCAGGGCTCTCGATTACCAGCCCCTTGCATTAGCATGTGCTGCAGTTTACATGAAACAAATATGCAGTGTAGGCAAAGCAATTACATGGGGAAAATATCTTGAAAAGCTGCAAAATGACCAACTTGAGGCAACAGAAGCAGCTTATAAGGAAACAAGTTTAGCTTACCGATCGACAATGACTACTGCTGTGAAGTTGGCCTTGGAGAGAGAAGTTAATAAGAACGAGGTAATGATGCAAGCTTTTCAGTTTTTGTCTTACGTAGCTCCCTACCCGATACTACTGAAATATGTCGTTCAATATGTTAAGAAGTGCATGCCACAGCAGGACGATGAGCTACTGGCTGCAAAGATAGCTTCTTCATCGCTTGTCATTTCTTCCGATGTTGAGTCCAAAGAGGTTCGCTTGCATCAAGTTGTGCATGACTGCATGAAAAAGGTTCTGATTCAAAGAAATACAAGCAAATATATTGTGTTTGACGTGGTTTTGGCCTTTTCAGATATTTATTTTTTTCGTATGGACAAAATGTTAGATTTCCTTGAAACAGGAAAACTTGTTCCCCATTTTGAGTCCATCGCAGCAAAGTTACAACCTTTCATTGAACAAGAAAATCGACCTTCTTTTGTTAGGGAATCTGGACTCTGCTCGAATTTTGCTCTTATTGCAGAGAGCTTATCAACAATTGGAAAAATCTGCTTGCAACATAATAGCTTTCGAGCTTCCAATACTTACTTTAAGGTCACCTTTATGATTCAACAAGGAAGAGTGAAGGATGAGAATCATCCAATTTTTGCCGTTACACAAACAAATATGGGCAAAAGCTATTTTTATCTTGGCCAGTATGAAGATGCAAGGATATGTTTGGAGAGAGCATTAAGCATTCAAAGCAAGGTTTATCCCGACGACCGTCATCCTTCAGTAGTTAGAACCCTCAATATTCTCTCTACTACCATGCGTTATTTGGGCCAGTTAGAGCAAGCTAAAGTCTATTCAGAAAGAGCGATAACTATCCTGGAGAGTTTTCATGATTCAATTGACCAAGCGTTGCTGAGTGCCACTCTTAATATCCTTGGTGGTATCTTACAGGATTTGAGTCAATATGAAAAATCAAAGTTATATTTGGAAAGATCTTTGGCCATCGAAGAGAGAATTTGTGGAGAGGATCATCCAAGAGTGGCCACTGCTCTTAATAACCTTGCTTTAACTTTACAATGTCTTGGGCAACATGAAAAAGCTAAGGGTTATTTAGAGAGAGCCTTGTCGATAGATAAAAAGGTATTTGGCGAGAATCATCCCGAGCTAGCAGGCAAGCTATGTAACCTGGGGCAATGTCTCCTGAAATTACGACAATACGCCGAGGCAAAAGATTACACAGAAAGGGCTGTAACGTTAATAGAAAAAACACTAGAACCGACGCACCCATTGTTAGCTAGTTCGCTATGTTATCTAGGAACAATCCTCTCTGTTATGGGACAGTACAATGAAGCCAGAACCTATTTTGAGAGAAGCCTGCCCATAGCAGAAAATGCTTATGGTGATAATCATCCCAAGGTAGCAACCATACTGAATTACCTGGGGCTATGTTTCAAGGAATTAGAAAGATACAAAGAGGCGAAACATTACACAGAAAGGGCTGTAGCGATAAGAGAAAAAACACAAGGACCGACGCACTCATCCTTTGCTGATTCGCTAGGTAATCTAGGGCGTATCCTCATGGATATGGGACAGTACAATGAAGCCAGAACGTATTTAGAAAGAGCTCTGTCCATAGCAGAGAATGTTGATGGTGATAATCATCGCACGGTAGCAAACACACTGGATAACCTAGGGCAATGTTTCCTGGAATTAGAAAAATACGAAGAGGCAAAACATTGCGCTGAAAGGGGTGTAGCGATAACAGAAGTAACACTAGGACCGACTAACTCAATGTTAGCTATTTCGCTAGGTAATCTAGGAAATATCCTCTTTGCTATGGGAAAGTACAATGAAGCCAGAACTTATTTAGAGAGAGCTCTGCCCATAGCAGAAAATGCTGATGGTGATAATCATCGCACTGTAGCAGCCGTACTGAATAACCTGGTGCAATGTTTCCTGAAATTAGAAAAATTCGAAGAAGCGAAACCGTACGCCGAAAGGGCTGTAGCGATAGAAGAAAAAACACTAGGACCGACACACTCATCCTTGGCTAATACCCTAGGTACTCTAGGAAATATCCTCTATGCTATGGGACAGTACAATGAAGCCATACCTTATTTTGTGAGAAGCCTGTCGATAGCAGAGAATGTTGATGGTGATAATCATCCCGTGGTAGCAACCATACTGAATAACCTGGGGCTATGTTTCCTGAATTTACGAAAATACGAAGAAGCGAAACCGCACGCCGAAAGGGCTGTAGCGATAAGAGAAAAAACACTAGGACCGACGCACTCATCCTTTGCTGATTCGCTATGTATTCTAGGAAATATCCTCTATGGTATGGGACAGTACAATGAAGCCTTAACGTATTTTGTGAGAAGCCTTTCCATAGCAGAGAATGTTCATGGTGATAATCATCCCACGGTAGCAACCATACTGAATAACCTCGGGCTATGTTTGCTTAATTTACGAAAATACGATGAGGCAAAACATTGCGCAGAAAGGGCTGTAGCGATAAGAGAAAAAACACTAGGACCGACGCACCCATCGTTAGCTGATTCGCTATTTAATCTAGGAGATATCTTCGTGCACATGGGACAGTACAATGAAGCAAAAAATTATTTAGAGAGAGCTCTGTCCATAGCAGAGGATGTTCATGGTAATAATCATCCCAAGGTAGCAGCCATACTGAATTACCTGGGAAGATATAACTAGCTAAAAACTAGTGTGAGCTGAGTCGGTGTTTCTAATGAAACAATAGTGAAAAAAAGTTCAATTATACACCGTGAAAAGATGAAAAAACTTACTGACGTTTCGGACGCTAGTTCTTCGTCGGAGGACTAGCGTCCGAAACTTCAGTAAGTTTTTTCATCTTTTCACGGTGTATAATTGACCTTTTTATCATTACTGAATTACCTGGGGCTATGTTTCCTGAAATTACGAAAATACGAAGAGGCAAAACATTACACAGAAAGGGCTGTAGCGATAAGAGAAAAAACACTAGGACCGACGCACCCATTGTTAGCCGAGTCGCTAGATATTGTAGGACGTATCCTCATGGGAATGGGACAGTACGATGAAGCCAGAACTTATTTAGAGAGAGCTCTGTCCATAGCAGAGAATGTTGATGGTGATAATCATCCCACGGTAGCAACCATACTGAATAACCTGGGGCTATGCTTCAAGAATTTACGAAAATACGAAGAAGCGAAACCGCACGCCGAAAGGGCTGTAGCGATAAGAGAAAAAACACTAGGACCTACGCACCCATCGTTAGCTGATTCGCTATTTAATTTAGGAGATATACTCATGCACATGGGACAGTACAATGAAGCCAGAACTTATTTAGAGAGAGCTCTGTCCATAGCAGAGAATGCTCATGGTGATAATCATCCCGACGTAGCAGCAATACTGAATAACCAGGGGCTATGCTTCCTGTATTCACGAAAATACGAAGAGGCGAAACATTGCGCAGAAAGGGCTGTAGCGATAAAAGAAAAAAAACACTAGTACCGACGCATCCATTGTTAGCTAATTTGCTATGTAGTGTAGGAAATATCCTCATGAACATGGGAGAGTACAATGAAGCCAGAACGTATTTAGAGAGAAGCCTCTCTATTCAAGTACAGGCGTTCGATAAAGCACATCCTCAGTTGGCTCAGACACTTAAACTCCTTCAAACACTAAAAGAGAAAGAAGAGGAAGTAAGTAAAAAAAGAAAAAGTGAAGTCATCGGCACAAGCAGCAGAAAAATGCGTCGAATATAAGCCTTGTTAACGAAGAAAAAAGAGTCAGGTTTTTAACTCTTCAGACCGAATAGGCGACTTGCACTAAAAGGACACGTAATCAAATCGGCCATTGTGGCTGGCATTATACAGGATTTTAGCTATGCGAGAATGTAAAAAAAGGAAGAGGAAAATTATGGTATGTTTTGATGTCTTGTAGCCGGCGAAACAAGACTAAACACTTCGTAGGTCTTCACATCGTAGCAAAAAAAATACCATATTTTTTCTCTTCCCGGCGAGCTATTAGCAAAAATCTACTTTAGATATCTATCAAGAATATATTTCTTGAAAGAAAAGGGGATTTTTATCGTTATTTAGTGCACTAACTTACCTTTTATCACAAAAAAGTTACCCGAATCTACCATCCTTTTTTACATTCTCGCATAGCTAAAATCCTGTAGAATGCCAGCCACAATGGCCGATTTGATTACGTGATCTCTTAGTGCAAGTCGCCTATTCTACATCAGTGAACATAATTAGCACCCAGTGTTGCATCGCGATTCACTAAATAGTCTCATATTTTTGAGAACAATATGTTGTGGTATTGCCGTTTCAAAATTAAGGTTTCTGATTGGCTAACGCGCGACGAATAGGAAAGCTTGCAGAGCGCGCGCGCGTCAAATTTTCACGCTTGTTGCTTACGCCATAGTGCGCATTCGTAAGGAGAATTTCGCTGTTAATCAAAGAAAATTGGTCAGTTTTTTCCTTTTTTTGCGTTAAATTCTTTAGAATCGCGATACAAAACTAATTACGATTTTGAGACGACAATACCGCAAAACTGTCCATGTATTATTTAAGCAATAGAAAACTTTTTCCGTGTTTACATAGCCTGATAGCAACACGAGGGGAGGTTGGGAGAATTCGAGACAGTTATACAAACCCGAGACGTAGTCGAGGGTTTGCATAACTGTCGAGAATTCTCCCAACCCCCCGAGTGTTGCTATCAGGCTATGTAAATACAGAGAAAAAAGTTTTCTATTGCTTTTATAAAATAAATACTAAGGGAAAACATTACCACTTGCAAGAAAATAAATCTTTATTTGAATTTGATTCTCATATCAAAATACAAATTCTCCATACATCACGAACTTTGATCGTTAGCCAATCAAATTTCGTGTAATAAACGCCAAGGAGGCAAATGTGAAGCGAGAAAGAATCGCTAGCTATTTTCAACATTTATCATTCTAAAACTTTAAAACAAATACAAAAGAAATGTCCAAAGATTGAATATAAATCTTAATAAAAGATTTCAGAATTGATTATCTTTACGAAAGTGATCAAAAGTAGATAACTGAGTGTCACTGTGAATGGAATTCTCGGTTGAAAGAAACGTGGTTTTGCTCAATTTGACAGCCAGAAAACATGGCAGCGAAGTTGATTGTTTCGTCTCGCCTCGTGAAGATATTTTGTGGAGCTGAAGAGCTATCGCTGGAAAAAGTTTGAAGCTGCTGACTGTTTCCTTGAAATACTTGTATTCCTTATCGGGTGGTGCATTTAAATCATGAGAAAGCACGTCGCTGAACAACCGMAGCTGTCCTGACGRAGGACGTGTGTTGTAGCTCCTGAGGGAATTCTCTTTGCGGTGACCAACGAGAGATTGTCATGATATTACGATCAGAAAGACCTGTATGAGACCATAGGGTTATGCCTGWGGCCCTGACACAAGTCAAAATTTGGAACTTCGWYTTCAAAATACATTTTTGGGGGCGTTTTTTTTCTCGAAAGAAACTGTAAATTTTTGAACTTATACCGGGAAAACAAGAAAGTTGTGACGTCAAAACTGTGTTTACATACCCTCATGCAAACATGGCTATCAACCAATCAAAGCGTGCGTACTATTTAATTTATTTTATAATGTAGGATGATTGACTAGCCTTCATTCGTGCAATCATATAGTCTGCAAAGAACTATTGTCTTATGAATCTTAATTTTTTCTAATCATTTTCGGTGGCGCAATTTTTACTCCAAAAAGCTCGTGCGTAGGCTTCCATTATATGCTGATTATCTCGAAAACAAGCTATTTTTCTTACAATATTTGGAATCAGCATTAAATTTAAATTCGGAAAATCGAAGTTTTAAAAGACGTTTATATCAATTTCCAAAAATAGGCAGCCACCTTAATCAAAGAAAATTGGTCGGTTTTTCCTTTTTTGTGTGTGAAATTCTTTAGAATCGCGATACAAAACTAATTACGATTTTGAGACGACAATACCGCGAAAAATTGACGGCGTTGGGTCGCGACTCCACCCAATACCGAATATATTTTCTCCCAACTAGCCGTCAATATATTGTAATTAGTTTATAGGATCAAGGTATCTAAGCGTATGCACGTGACCCTAAAAGAAGCATATCATTGGACCATAAAATCATGAATTATTAATGAGTTTGAGAATTTCTAATCTTATCCGGGAAATAAGTTATTGAATACTTTCTATCCGGAGATAAATACACATCCTGATCGTGATACTTTGGTCTATATAATTTACGTACTCCAGCAGTTCTTGAAACCCCATAATACTGTAAAGTAGAGTATAACTGTATAAAATCAAATTGGCCCATTTTTAAAAGTGCATACGAAACCTTCGACAATACTTTCAGTACTGATTCTACATGAAGTAAATAGTTGAATGCTAAAAAACGTTATGTTTGGCTAAGCTACTATTGGTCTATATTTACTACTGGTAGCGAAAAGTAGCGGTTTTGAAAAAACAAAACAACGCAAAAGTTAAAAAAAATTCAACCTAATTTCAACATTGTTTGTATTTCATTTATTTTACCTATTAAAAAAAAAAATCTAAAAAATCTACAAAGCTTTTCGCTGTCGTATCACAACAGAGCTAGGCTCCAAATTAAGTGAAAGCCCAGAGATCGAATTAGAATTTAGAAGTTGATTTTTGAGGAGGGAGGAAAACCGGAGGACCCGGAGAAAAACCCTCGAAGCACAGGAGAGAACCAACAAACAACTCTACTCACATACTACATCGAGATCGGCAGGACTCGAACTCGGGCCGCATTGGTGAGTGGCAGCGCATTAGCAGCGCACGCCACCAGTACTTCCCACCAGTGTTTCCCCCTATTAGATTAGACCTCTCTTCCCCATAGTCTAAGAGGCATAAGCCCATTCGGCCTTTGTCATTGGCTAATACTGACTAGCAAGGAATATAAGGACTGCGGGTCTAATTAGCCAGACTTTTCATATAAATTAGGTTGTCGTTCATAATAAGCCAGTCAGCTAATTTGAGAAAAAATATTAGCCGATCAGAATGGAGAAAATTTGCAAAACTGAGGTATTACTTTTTCTCTTGAAATCACGGATTTCCAGGTCACTGAATGAAAAAAATACGGTGCTTATACGCGCTTGATAACAGTGACACATTAGTTCATATGAGTCTTATATTTTTATTGCATTGGTGAGCAAGTCTTTATTTTAGGCTGGTCAATGTTCACAGGCTTCATGATACCTCAGTTTTGCAGTGACATCATTTCTACGTCACTATTTTAGATCAGCTAGAGTTCGATGAATCACTGAATATTAAGATTAATTTCACAGTGCGACTAACAAGGCCACCCAAACAAATTTGAAATCCAATTCACAAAACCTGTTTCTTGTTCACTTCTGATCATACACACACTTGTATAAGGCTGCGTTCAAAATGTACGGCAGAGGGGGGGGGGGGGGGGGGGGGGGGGCAGGATCGGGAAAATTTTGGTAGGGAAAAGGTGGGTATGGGCAAATTTTTATCAGAAAAAAGGGGGATG